CCCAAGGAGCAGCTGACAATTCACAGGAGGCGAGTGATGATGGGTATTGGTGGGTCCCTCACCTCTCCTAAATGCAGTTAAAGGTTGTGCTGTAAGTGCTGGCAGAATAAAAGGAAGCAATGGCATATTCTTCCAATTGCCTTCAATACCCAAGCAAAGGCCTTAAAAATTCTAGGGATAAAAATAATATTTCTTCACTTGCCCAAGTTAAGGTAGGAGACACGAGGTAAGGTTGCCTCTGTCACTTGATAGGAAGCTGTTTTCAACTCTCAAGAAAATAAAATGATTTTTATATATGCACATTATAAATTTTTTATTATAATTTTTTGTCTAGAATTAATATGTGTTCATATTTAATCTCATTATATTTCGGTGCAGGTTTTAATTAATTAATTGTTCAGATAAATGTTGCTTGCCATAGACCAAAATGCATCAGCTTAAGATGTCTTCTAGATGAAGTAAACTGATGCTAACACTTGGTCCTGTGCTTGAATTTCCTTCCATATTTCATTAAGCTAGACATGCATGGAAAGTGTTTGTAACATCTCAGAAGTGTAGCCGAGGAGCTTGTAGAAAATTTAGCTTTAAATTTCATCTGCATTGAATTTTTTGGTATGATTTCAGTAGTAGTTGGCTGTAAGTTGTTGTTAGTGGTATCTCTAATGCTCTTTATTCCTTGACTTTGTATTAGTAGGAGCAAGGGGGGGTTCTGCACTTTATATCACAGCATCATGCTGTGATGAATAACCTGGTATGATTGGTAAATGGTGTGACCTCAACCACAGGAACAATGATATGTTTTTATTTTAAACAAGAAATAAAATTAACCTTTGAAATTATTTTTGACAAATAAATATTGGCGGAAATAGGTAATTAGGTAATGTGTCACTAGTTGTAAAGCATTATGATGATATCACCCAAGGTACAATATAGTAATCACAGTTTTTAAAGCAGAGAGGGAAAGGGGTGTTGATTGGATATAAACTGATTAAGAAGCTGTCTTGGAATTGGTTGCTCTGGCTATCCTTGTTGCCCTATCACGAAAGGAAGAGAGTTCAGTAATGGTTTAACTACAATTAAATCCCTCCCCTTTCTTTGTGGAAACTCAACTGTAGGCATTTCAGCATTAGCCTAAACAATGGTTTTGAATATGTTAAGCCTCTAACAATTAGGGAGCAGTTTGGGGCATTGAATAATGTGGAATGATGCAATTGAATCTGACAGCTTCAACAGTCAGCCTACTCATGGGACCCAAAAGTTGTTCACACTTGGTTTCATCTCTCATCACACGCTGAGTATTAAAACCTTACTGGTGTGGAGCTGAGACAGAAATGAGGCCTGTTATCAGAAAATATTTCATAGCATAAAACTTAAAAGGAATGGGAGAAAAGGCATGTTCAAAGAGTCTCAAAGTTTTGCAACTCAATCTGATTGCATACAGCTAAGCATTGCTTCATTTTTCTCCCATTTGTTTTCTTCCGCTGAAAGAACATGTAACTTTTGATTGAAGAGACTGCTTTCCCTGGAAATTTCGGATAGGAGTAAATGTTCAGATATGAATGCTCTGGCAACTTTATAGTCATACTGTTAAATACTGTCCTGGAGTCATGCAAACATAGAAAACTATTCTAAATGTTTTGGAAGACATCTATATATATGAGTTAAATGTAGTTAACCTGCAAGTCTTATTCTTTAATTAGAAGAATATGCTTGTACTTTCTCACTTGCTGTAGAGGAAGTGTTTTTAAACATCAGTCAAATATCAATCATTTCTTACTGCACATAGGCATTCTCTGAATTACAATGCATCATCCTTCTGTGCTGCTCTGCTGCTTATGGCTTTACTGATTTATTGAACATGCCATAGAGGAAAGCAGTGTGTTGTATACCTCTAGATGGGCTTAAGTCCTTCTGCTAAAATATTTTCAGGAAAATTTGCTGCCTTTTCAAAATAAATACTTAGTAGTCTCGGGTTTTTATTAGTTCATACATTTTGATCATGTATTGTGTTGAGTGTTTAAATAGAAACAGTTGAAATAAAGAATAATACAGCATTAAAAGTTCTGCATTTTAGAACATGTGTCAGTCCTGTGACCTTAATATGTATTGACAGGATGATTGCGCATTTTTAATAAATGCTTGCTACAGCTTGTTTCGACTGTGAGTGAAACATGAAGCTCCTATTTCACCTTTAAATAATGTAGCACTCCTCCACCTTCTCTACTTCCTTGTCAGATGAAGTCGTCACATATATAAGAAAGCTTCACAAATCATTATTCTTGTCATTTTACATTGCTGTTTTAAAAAAAGGATTTTCAAAGGTTTTTTTTTATTTGCCTTCAACTAACTTGAACAATTTTATTGTGTCTTTTTGCTTTAAGAGTTGCATAGAATGCAGGATGGCATTGGAACTTGTATAGTTCCAACTTTTAAGACACTTTTACTATTATTTTAAAATGCAAACAGGGGTAACATTTAGGGTGAAACCACTACTTGTGAAAAAAACTTAAGTTCTTAGATATTGTTTAAATCCTGCTAAGTCTTTTGATCTGTTACATCAACCCACTTAGCAAACGTTTAACTCCTTTGATGTCTTCTGTTTGGTGGTGTGATAGTTAACAAACTTTAGCAACTCCCTTCAAGATACTTAGGTACTTTCAGAAAGTTCTTAAAGCTATTTGTGCATGCTTCAATCAAATAAACATGTATCCCCCTCGCTGATTATAGCTACCCTGCCATCATAAATTAATATACAGCTCCTATTGCACAGTTTTAAGCAGCCTTGCAGTGAATTACATGGACTGAGAGCTAAGTATAGAAGCTTTTATGTAAAATCTGAGTAGTACATACACTTACTGGAATTAAACGAAATCTTCTAGGGAAAAATGCTAAAACTAAACAGAAATAAGACCTGGTGTTTGGAGTTTAAAACCTGCCCCCACCCTACCCCCGAAGCTATGAGTAGAACTCCTACCATCATATAAACTTCTATTTTCCTAGTCTGGCCTTTTAGATATGGTTGAATGATAATACTGGTTGAATCTCTTAATACTCTATTCTGTAAGGTTTTATCAGTGAAAGGAATTGACTGAAGTTTGCTTGGTTTTGAAGGGAAAATAGCTGAAGGTTGTTAGGAACAATAGTAGTTAAGTTAGAACTGCCCTATAGACATTTTTTAAGGAAAATAGCAGGACCTGTGCAGTATTGCTGCCTTCATCAGTGTCACAGTACTGATACATACTGTATTTCTGGAAGCTGTTGTACCTGGGTAGCTGGAAATGTCTGTATTATTTTTAAGACTTAGAAATAATTCAGATTAATTCTACTAAAGATACAATTCTTTAAAAAAAACCCAACAAACAAGTGGAAGAAGTAACAGCCAGATTTGAGGCGATGCTGTGGTTCCATGTCTAGCAATCTTGCATGTACCTGTAAACTGAAAAGTGAATGAACCCCTGATCATTGTAAGCAATTACTTGTGGCTTTTTCTGACTTTGTGACAGTAGAAGAACGTAAATATCAGGCACAATTTCTCACCAGTGTATAGTAAATAAAGCATCATTGAAAACAGTTGTGTGAATTCATAAAAGTCCATTCATCAAGTTTAATATGTTGGCAGAAAGCCAAAAGTTAATGGTAGTGTGTGATTCTTTCCAGAGACATAGTTTATACTCTAATATTTTGCTGTAATAACCAGTATGTTTCCCCTGTCTCTTGTGTGCAGTTATGCATGTCAAAATGTCCCACAAATTGAGTTCCTTACTGTTCACCTTCTTTTTTCGTTTTTCAAAAAAAGTTTCATTTGTTAAGGTTGCTTACATTTTCTTAGAAGATTAATTTTAAAACTAGTGATCACACAGGTTTGTGTATCTTTGATTCCACCTCCCCTACCCCCCCGCAATCTTTTCTTTGTTCTGAATTTTTTTTTATCAGGTAGGAAAATGGCTTTAAAATAAGCAGCCGTGCTTTTATTTCTCTGGTTGCCTGTCTCTGCAACTTAGCATTTGACACAAATCTTTTTTTTTCTTCGAAAGGGAAAAAGCATAAGCAGCCAAGGAAGAAGGTATTTTTATTGCGTTGGATTATGCAAGATTTTGGCCAGCCTCCTTAGCTTCATCTGTTTAAGGGTTCATTTTCGCTTGTTTGGCACAAGTCCCAGCAGAGACCTTCAGAATTGTGGTTAGCAACATGAATGAACACAAACTTTGGGAGCTCTTCAATAAGTAGAGCTGGCCAACTGCCAAAAATACAGTTCCTTATATGGGGTCAGGGCAAAGCTGTGGTTCCCGGAGCCCCCTATTGTATAGAAAACATACTTGTAATGGCTGTTTGCGTTCTTTAAAATAAAAACAAAACAAAACAAAAAAACACCAGGCTTCCAAGTCTATCAAAATAGGAAGTAACAAAATACTGTGCACGTTTTACTAATGACGGAGTCGAGCAAAGGAAATATGGCTCTGTGTAGTTAAACTATAGAGCTGAAAGTTGGACCTTTTGACCTCCACAGCCGGCTTGTGATGTAAGGAACCCAAGCATTTGTGAGACATCTGTTGTCTACCTGCCCTTATTTTGTAAATGGTTTAATAAGATTAAATAATTAGTAGGATAACCACATGGTCGCCATGCTCCTAAGTCCTAGCATTGAGCGCATACTTCAGGATCGCAAGGAAGTCTGCCTGTCCTGCAAACTGCGGTTGTTTTAAAATGCACTTTAGGTATTTTTAATATTTGCTACAGAACTTCATTTTTAGAAGAGTTTAATTATAAGATCTTGCCAACTACAAATACAACACACTTTAAAACCTGATCTATTTTTCGAGTTACTGCAATTCCGTTTCTATACTCACAAACGGAAAACCTTTTTTCTTTTAAATACATTGTTTTAAAAAGCATTCTACTTACAAAAATAAAAAATGTGCATTAAGAAGGCTCCTTTAAAATACATTTAGCATTTCTCCCCATCATAAAAAAAGATTCAAGTTTGAATTGATTTCTTGCAGGCGAACACCCTACCTGGATCTTCTCTCAGTCTGCCTCCATCCCACATGTATGGCAATAGGCTGAATCCAAATTCAGCCATGGCAGCACTTATAGCTCAGTCTGAAAACAGCCAAGCAGGTAAGCTTCCTCCGCCGGTGCAAATGTGCAGCTTCACAGAACTCCTTGTTTTTAAAAAGGTTGTTAAATAGTATTTTTGATTTCTGCTCAATTTTTGGTTATTAAATGTCTGTACAAAATTGTTCTGTGTTGGAAGTAAATTCTAGTTGTTCTGTGGAACAGCGCGGGTTTTCATCCCCCTTTTTTCCCTCGGTGTGTGAAATGTAAATGTTTAAGCAGAGCCATCAGCAGGCAGGAATGCACCAGTGTCTCTTGTGACTCCTGTGATTGATGCGCTCAGTTCCCAGCTCTTTGCAGCCGGAGTGACACAGCTCTGGGTTTTGTCCTGAATAGTTGAAACCTTTATTTGCATAATTCATGAAATTGCATTACATACAAGTTCGTGTGAAAGAGATCCCGTTAGAGAACTTGTGCAGCATTTAATAATCTTGTGAATATTTACCGATTGGCATTTGGTACCGCGGGCTCTCCGCTGCGGTTTTAATGAGCCGCTGGCTTTGCTTTGTTTCATTCCCTCCGTAAGGATTTGTTGACATGTCGTAGTAGTCATGCCTGTTTGGGGGAAGGGAATGAGTTTAGCAGTTTACCAAGAATGGATCAGTCATGTCTTTGCCCTCCAAGGGGTCGGAGGTCGCTTGACTCAGAATAGGGGGAGGGCAACCTTGAAGGGGGCAGATAGGGTTATTTTATTGAGAGGCCATAGGGAAAATAACCCTTTTGAGTCCTTCCAAGCAAAACGTTTTCGTATATTTAATGAGGCCTTTTTTGTTTGTTTTACTACCTTTTTAGCAAGGGGCTTTCCTATGCTTTGCTTATAAATAGGAATTAGTGAATTATACGCTTTCATAAAGTTTTCAGTAAATTTGCAGAATAATGCGTGCTTGTTAGATGGCAGCAGTAAGTTTAATACGTTATATATTTTATGAGTTGTTTTGGGATGCAAAGTGTTAAAAAAATACAGAGCATCAGGATTTGCTGTGATAAGCATACAGATTAGCTGTCCACAGCTGTGATTCATTACTTTCACCGTACAAATTAAAAGTGGCTGAGGGGAGGGTACTGCAAATGCAAACCACGCTTCTGTGCTGTAAAACTGAAAGGAATGAAAGAAGTGAACATAATCCATGGCCTGGTACAGCCTCAGAAATGTGTAAGGACAACACCTTACATGCTACAGTTCAGCAATCTTAAACTAGTTACTTATTCACTCTTCAGCAGTAACTACAGATAGAAGTTGAGATTGAAGGTATTTTTAAAATATCTACATCAGATATTAAAGCTCTTATCTAAGAAAAGGCGATTTATCAGCTGTGAAATATTTACACTGCAGATCAAGATCTCGGAGATAACAGCCGAAGCCTTGTTGGCAGAGGAGGATCACCCAGAGGAAGTCTCTCACCACGGTAAGCGTTATTTACATTGGAAAGTGCAGGCAAAGGAAATGTTTTAAGATTTGCAAACCTCACTGTTTTTACCAGCAATACCAAAGTGTTTTAAAAGCCCATACATATAAAAATATAAACACACATGTATAAATACATGTATTTTTATATCAATATATCCTTCTAAAAAAAATCCCTCATACATCCAGAGAGCTAAAATTGTGCCGCAACTTACTTTTGTATCAACTGAAATTAAGTTTATAAATTAACATTTGTAAGTAAATTAGTTTACTCTCTTACTTAAGAAATGGAATCTTGCTTTAGAGGGATTTATCTATCATTTAATCCATATGTACCGCTTATCTCCTCAGATTTATTACCACAATCCTAGTTTAGTAGTATTTGCAAAAATTCCAAAATCCTGTATACTTAACAATGATCACAAGAATAAGATGGTGTGAAACATTAAATATCAGTAAAAATTCCAAGCAAGTATTTTCTTCCTTTTTCCTCACAACTTCAAAATTTTTCTCGGTAGAAAAAACATATTTTTTTTCCCTGCTACAATTCACATTTGCTAAAAAACTTTGAGATAAGAATTCTACTGAAACGGTATCATGTTATTTTGTTTTAAAATATTTGCTGTTAAAACCTCAATGTTGTGTTTTAAATATTTCAGTAATATTTTCTGTATATTTTAAGCAAATCTTTATTTTAGAGGGCTTTATTTTCCCTACTGGATCCAATATGAGTTAGATTTTATGGTGTTATTACTGTGGTTTTTACTTAGGGACTAACAATGAAAAAGATTTATCTGAAAAAAAAGATTTATCCTGAAAAAGATTTTAGGATAGCTAAAAAACGCTAGTTATACAGAAATAGCATTATAATAATGAATTTTATTGCTATAGCATGTGTTTATTATGGTAATTTATAACAAATATCTCCAAATTAGATAATTTAATGTACATGCCTGGCGTTGTTGATCTTGTATTATATTCCTTAATTAATCAAAAGACATCTTGCTGGGATGAGATTATCCATTATAATACTTAGGTGTTATTACCTAGTCATGAACTTGTTTTTAAGTTTTCTAGTATGTGTTGCTTCTAAAATAATAAATAGAGAATTTACAAATTAGTTTAGATGGTATTCTTAGCATAAATATGTGTACTTACATTAGCATATAAATTGATCTATACAGAGAAGAAATTTCAGAGAATTTTGCAAAGGGAAATGCTCACAATTAGGAAATTCCAGAACTTTTGATTTTATATTAAGTAGTCCTCTTATGCATACATGTTGTGGTAATTCTGAGTTTTAATGCCTTCTTAGTTAATATGCAAAGACCTGTTCTTTGCATGATTTGCATCGGTCACAGCTGTGCTCTGTCTTTTGGTCGGACACTTGGGAAGGTAAACTTCCTAAATATGATGCTTCTGCAGAATGTGTATGTTCAGGGTATATGCAGTCCAGTACTTGCAGCATGGTAAAATGCCAGCTGGTTTTGATGGGGATGCTGAAGGGGAACTGGTTGATACAAAGGCCACCTCAGTCCACAATTGAAAAGCTTCCTGCAGTGTGTGGAAGCTGTAGCACTTTGCAAAGAGGAGAGAGATTTTGCTTGGCAGGGTTGTTCAAAAACAAGCCAAAAAGGTGGGGGGGAGGTGGGAGTGGTGTGAGAGAAAGCAAGGGGGAGAAACTGGTGCTGTAGTAACAGAATTGAAAGATGGAAAATCTTAGTCTGAAATACCTAGCATGGAAAAAATTTAGAAAACCTACTCATTCAGTTAAGTTCAGTAGTCAGCGAATTTCAGCTCTGGTTTGCGCGACAAAAAAGACTGGATGTATGTCAAAGCTTCTAAAATGTGTAGGTAACTCTCCACCTTCCCTACTTCAGTAAATAAGTAACTCTGGTTACTTTAAATATGGTTTATAGTGAATAAAAAGCTAACTTAAAAAAAATCTGCTGTCTGGAAACTTTGCAACTCCGAATGTTACCTGCTTTATCTATTAAAATTATTTAGCTGCAAGTTCTGACTCTGTTCCCTTTGAAGCTTATGAGATACATAAATAACACAGTTCTCCGAAAGAACCATGTGATTTTCAGCGAGTTGCTTAAAATAAAAACACTTGCAGAACATTTGTTTGCTGTTGATGACGCAGCTGATTGCAGCTCTTCGGAGAAGACATATGTGACTCATGAGCTTGTATGGTCATTTCCAATTCATATTGTTATATCTTTGTACCCCAATATAACCACAGCGTTTGATGTTTAAGCTGTCGTATTTTAACTTTTAATATATATATGAGAAATATAAATATACCTGGTATATGTGAGCTGTTTCCATTTTGCAAAGGAATTGCTGCTTTTCCCAAGGTAGCACTTAAACTTTTTTTTTACTCCATACTTAACCTTAGATTTAAAAATGTGTTATGTAATACCTGCAGTGAAATCTGTATGTATGCTTATATCTAAATGCAGTATTGCTTCTAATTAATGCTCTATAGAATGGGTAGCTTTTCCAAACTTAATCAGAAAACAGTTGTGAAAGCAGGCAAGCTGTGAAACAGGGTTCTCATCTCGGTGGCAAGATTGGACCAGTCCAGACAGCACATTTCTAATCCTCTTGGAAACTCTGATCAAATACTATTTGGAGTAAGGATTCAGCCCTAGCACACAGGAACCGTATCCTGTCTAAAGGATGAGCTAGGGGTTCAGTTGGAAGAGGAGAGATTGAGTAATGTTGCAGTACACAGAAATCCAGATTTTTTTTTAACCCTTCTCTTGTAAAGGCTTCCAGTGAAGGATTGCAGAAGTTATACGTCATGTACTGCTTTGTTTCTGCCTTTTCAAAATTGATAGGAAGCAGTCTAAAGCCCATAAAGAATTTTGTTGGTGATTTAAAATTCAAAAGGCACAATCTGTTAGGGCACCATTATGTGCTGCTCAGTAACGTGCAGACAGAGAGAGAAGTTTCTGGGGAAGTTGTTCAGGGGTTTTATGTATTTGTTTCCTGGTTTTGTTTTGTTTTTCTGAAGTGGGTTTGTGTGAAGTGTAAGTGTAGTACCTCTGTGTAGAATGTTTCTGCATAAACTTTCCTTCTTACTGATTCAGCACATCGTGTAAACAGTGCGTTTTAAGACTGATTTTTGCTGTCTCTGTGCTGAACTGTTATATGCTGTTGAGTTGTCATCTCTTGTCAAAAAACACTACCTTGGTTACCCATTCATCAGGGCTTTTTGTTTTAACAAGTGCTTTCCTTTCTTCCTGTATGCAAAAGAGGAACTATTTATAAATACTTAACAGAGCTCTTAAGTCACCTACTTAAAACCTTTTCTCGTAAAAAATCGCTTTGCTCTGGTGCCTACAAAATGCTCGACAGTCATTAGGTAGCTAATGTGCTGTGACCACTGCTTATTACGGTAATCATAATTAACACACTGATTTCCTGAGCTCTCTGTGTTGTCCTGTACTGGGACTGTGGTGGTCTTGTTGGTAAGTTTGCACTAGGGGTGGAACAGTACGGCTGTGATCCCATGATGGCACCAATTGCTTGCAGTGATAACTAATATCTGAGGATATGAGCTCACTGGAATTGATTAACCCCCATCCCCGCCCCCACCGCCCCCCAAACAACAAATAACAAAACCAAGAACCAGCATTTAGTGGGCTTTGGTGTTGGTCCTGTAGGATGAATGGGACCATGCATACACGAGAGCAGAAACCTGAGGCAGAAATACACAGAACATCTGGCTTTGCTCACAAGTTAAATTGTGCCCCATCCAATGCAAAAGAAACCTTCTCCTAGGGCCTGAGAGAGGTAGCCAGCTTTCTCAGTGGCTGTGTGCTGAATATTCACTTTCTTTCTGAATGAGAAAAGACATGTGGCAAGGGGATTGTTCTTTCAATTGTATGTGATCAAGAGTAAAAAGGGAGTGTTCACAGTACAGGCAGAGGATAACTTCTAACTTGCATTACATCCCTTGTGAACTAATATTTTCATGTAGTCCTTCAAGAATCCAGATTTACATGACTGTTTTTAGAACAAGTTAGACAGTGGAATTATATATGGCCTTTCTATGTGATGATTTTAATAAATTGGTTTTATTTTCCCAGTTTTCTCAGGGAAGAGTTTGAAGTTTGGTGTGGGTTGGTTTTTTTGCCCTCGAAGTCAGTGCCCTGTATATCCATATTACAATGGTTTCCTGCTGTAGAAGTGTGTGTTGTATAATTTAATTCAGTGCTGTTTGTCAGTTACTGTCTTGTTATTCTGTATGCAAGAAGAGGTTATGTGCTTTCTCAGTATAAATTCTCACACTGTAATAATATGTCTTTCTTTTATTAAAGTCCTGGCAGTGAGAACCACGAGTTCTTCGTGATTTTGATGAATTAACTTAGTCTTGGAAGCATAAGATATGTAGGTGCTAAGAGCTGATATAAGAAATTTCAACAGCCTTTTTCTAATATATTTCCTTTCATCTTTTTCTTTGCACAATAAATTGCAATATTTTCAACAGATCCCCTGTGAGCAGCTTGCAGATTCGCTATGATCAATCAGGGAATGGTTGTGGGGAAAATTTGCCCCCAGTAGCAGCCAGCATAGAACAGCTTCTCGAGAGGCAGTGGAGTGAAGGACAACAGTTTTTATTAGAGCAAGGCACCCCCAGTGACAGTAAGTACTCACAATCTGTTTATTATGACTTTTGCCAACTGTTACTCAGAACTGCTATTCAGTGCTTGTCCAAGAATTTTAATACAATTTATTTTCTGCTGTGAATTGAAATATAACTGTAGTGTACAGTTCTAGCATAGTTCTTAGTGCAGCACATGGCATCAGTAGATTGCAGAAGATTTCTCTATAATTACCTACATTTTTGTAGATGGGGAAATTGTGTCATGAAAGGAGAAATAACTTGGAGGTCCAGTTGCAGTGTTTGGAAAAGAATTCTGAACTCTTAGATCTGCTACTGTAAATATTGTAGTACAGTTCCTCATTTTTCTTTATATTGTGTGACATAAATTGGCATAATAATTTTTATTGTTCTATCTTTTATTTTTAAATCTGACTTTTCTACTTCAGTTGCTGTTTGAAAAGAAAATATTTACAAATGTTAGGCAGGTGTCCTACTGGGCTTTCCTGTCTTTATTATGTTCTGCCTTTATTGTGAGTTCCTAAAGCAAGCAAAATATTATTTTCTCAAGTTATGTTTAATATAGTGGAATAGTCCAAGAATTAATATGTTAAAAGCAGTTGATCATGTGGCTCTCCATATTCAGCAATGCATCAGTATCAAAGACAATGTCTGAATATGTTAAAAATGTTATTTAATTCCAGGTTACGCTTTGTGTTATATATTATTGAACACATTGTTCTTCTCATTGGTAGTGTAAAGAGGTATCTAGTTAGTATTTTTATGAATGGTATCCTGACAAAAATGCTAATTGTGAGGAAATTCATGCAGGGATAATCCTTTAAACATGATAGCTGGAGGACAGGTTTAGCTAAGTCTTATTGCATCTCATTTGAGCTCACTGAGGGTTCCTTTGTATGTTCTTGAAGAGGAGGGATAAAAGCTAAATCCTTGGGAAATGACCAGATGTGCCTATACCAGTAGACTTATGTCTGTAGTAGCTCCAGAGGTCATGTTAAACAAATACAATTTAGAATTAAAAAAAAAAAAAGAAAAAAGAAGAAAAAGGAAGCTATCCCTGTGGCTTTACAGTCACACTCTGGTACTGCTTGGGAAATCCAAGTTCTGAAACCAAATGGGAGTTCGAGCAAAGTGTGCTTGGTAAGAATCAGGTCGGTGGCGAAGGTGATGGCCTCGTTAGGGACAGGCGGGGGGTAAGTGCGGTGCTCACAGAGTGCTCCCTGCTGGGGGATTCCGAGATCGCCGCTCGCAGCTCCCGCCAAGGTGCGCTGGGACAACTTAGCGTCGGAGGGCTTCTGCTTTTTTCATTGTTTCTGTTCATTCATGATTCAGTGTGCAAGTCATTAAATCAGAAAAAAATGCCTTGTCATAAACTTGGTTGTTTTCATATAAACGTTGGTTGCCTGTGCTGTTAGTTGAGCATATTCTTGTCAAACTTCTCTGCTTTATAAGGTTTTCAGTTCCTAATACTGCAGCTGAACTGGATTTATCTCAACTAGGCACTTAACCTGTGCTACTAAAATACTACTGCTTTTATATTTTGATTTGGAGCTAAGTTATCATGTACTTCTGTTTGCTTAAAATGTCTGCTGGCCCTAATGATGCTGCTCTATCAGTGTTTAAGCCAGGATGTAGAGGTATTCCAAAATTATTATCACAACACACTGTGAACTTTTTTCCTGCAATTTAAATTGCTCAGAATTAATCTTAAATCTTTCTGCTAAAATGCAGACATCTGTTCTAATTTTATATTTTCACATATACGTTAATCTTAATGTAATGCAGAATTTAAAACTGAAGGAAGATGCTATTCGTTCATTGAATGTGACTGTGGAATATAATGTGTGCATTTTTGTCTTAGTTTTAGGAATGCTTAAATCATTGCACCAACTTCAAGTTGAAAATAGGCGGTTGGAAGAACAGATAAAGAATCTGACTGCAAAGAAGGAGCGACTGCAGCTTCTCAATGCACAGCTTTCAGTGCCCTTTCCAACAATAACTTCAAATCCCAGCCCTTCTCATCAAGTACATGCCTTTCCAGTACAAGCACGTAAGTAGAGGGGATTATTAAAGTGTCAGAGTAATTTGAACATGTATTTATATGAAATAATCTATTTCATCCACACATGCCATTGATGGGAGATGAATATAAATGTAGGATGAATATAGACCAAGTATTTGCTGATGTGTTAAATGTTTAAACATCAATTGGTTTTTACATTACTGCTTGTTTCAGTGCAGTTTCTCTTTTACTTCAGTTTGGATCACATCTGTTTGAATCTATTGATTCACCAATTACTTAGTTAATATTTTACTATTCAGCAATGATTTTAAAGTTGACTTTAAATTTTCTATATTTAGCTTTGTCATAATTTTGAAATAATTATTCTGAATCTTTTTACATGTTACAGAAATTTAACCACTGTGTGTTTTTTGAAATAATTACCTAGCACCTAGCACTGATTCCTTGAACAGCAGTAAAAGCCCTCATCTGGGAAACAGTTTTTTACCGGACAATTCTCTTCCTGTATTAAATCAGGTAATTTTTATTTCTTTCTTCTAAATCTAAACTTGTTACAAGTTAACTCATCCCAGTCCTTGCACTGTGGTGTTAGGTGAAATTTTATGCAGCTGAGGGGGCTTTGTTGTTTGTTTTGACACCAGGAGATAACCTCCAGCGGACAAAGCACCAGCAGTTCATCAGCGCTTTCCACTCCACCACCTGCTGGGCAGAGTCCGGCCCAGCAAGGCTCGGGAGTCCCCGGAGTTCAGCAGGTCAATGGTGTGACAGTGGGGGCACTGGCTAGTGGTATGCAGACTGTAACCTCCACCATTCCTGCAGTGCCGGCTGTGGGTGGAATAATTGGAGCACTGCCAGCCAGCCAGCTGGCAATCAATGGAATTGTAGGGGCTTTAAATGGGGTAATTCAGACCCCAGCAACAATATCACAGAACCCTTCTCTCACTCATGCAACCGTGCCACCCAATGCAACACATCCTCTGCCAACCACGCTAAATAACAGGTAAGAATTTGCCGATTTTATGTTTTTCCTCATAGTGCCTGCTGTTCTTCAGGTTAGCTGAGTTTTTTTGTCTTACTCCAAATACATTGTTTATTCCTTTGCATATAATTGTTAAAGTAACTTCTGCTCCTGACCTGTGAAAGAAAGTGAGGAGGCATTTAATGGAAGCTCAAATAGTCAAGTTAAAGAAAAGATGTTTTCTCTAGAGCTTTTGGGAATCCTAGTGAATTCCTGTTTTTTAATCAAGTCACATTCCTAAACAAATGTAATTATGTAAATGTGCTTCAGCTCCTTTTTTTAGTTCAGAAAACAGTATTCTTTGCCCTGCCAATTGTTCTTCCAGGATTAAAGGAGCACTGGAAAAGCTACCATTTGTTGCAGTAAGAAGAGGGGGGAGGGGGAGAAGGGTATATGGTCATGTAATTCAAGATGTAATAGGCATAACTAACCAAAGTTGTAATACAGTTGCATGGTTTTCAGTTGCCTGCACTGACTCCAAACTGAACAGATTCAGTTTTTCAAGCAGTGTTCCTATGGATTTCTAAATGCATAAAAAGATTAATTTGTGAGTATTCCTAAAAGCCCTTCACCAAAGCCAGGTGCCTTTGGTAGCATAAACTGCTGCTGCTTGAGCTGCAAGGCAAATGGGTAACAAAAGGAGACAGCTGCTTTCCAGGAGGAGGAACGGACTTCTTGGTTTGAAAGTATTTTTGGATAGAGCAGAGCCTGGGCCAACTCCATCTTGCTGCTCCCCTTCCCCACACCCCTTGTCTGTCCTTCACTTAGGAAGGAGAGCTACAGTTCTGTGTAGGAAGAAGTGCCTGTAAATAGGGAGCGGATTACTTGTCTTTAAGTAGAGTTTATTTTTGGAGATTATGGTGGATTATCCGTCAAAAAAAGACATACGTGATTGGAATGAGGCAAAGGATCCCTAATTTCCTAGCTTCTTTTTCCAGTTTCTTTGCTTCCTGTTGGTTTGGCAGCTCCTGAATATTTGTGTACTGTATCATTGTGTGGTATTGCTTCAGTAAGCTCATAAAATCTGATACTTTCAAGTGCATGCTGTTGTTTGCATGTGTCATTACATTTTTCCTGAAGAGCCTGTATTTTTCATAGTTTATATCCTTTGTGAACTTGAGGTTTCATAGGATAAACAAAAGACATTCTGTTCATGAAAAATTTTTGTCTTCCTTGAGCATCAGAGGTTTGCAAAAAACACAAAAATTTTGCATTCTCTCCCCAAAAGTGTGAGAGAGTGAGAAATACTAGACTAGATCAATCATATTAACCAGTTGCATTCTGCTTTCCACTTTCAGGTACTGCCAGAATGTATCAGTTATGCTAAATACCAGTTTTCTCAAATGATTTTGTTTATAGACAGATTATTTGCTTCTCTTTGTATTGCAGAAGTTCTTCTGTTTCTTTTTTAACATCCATTTTAAGTGCTGTAACTCTTCATTGTGTAGCCTAGTAGTAGAATGTTCCAATTCATGCAAAATACTGCAGTCAGTATCCTGTTCTGAAGCTCTCATTCTAACCTTTAGTAGAGTCTGGAAAACTCCCAATGACTCCCTGTTTTCTGCTACAACAAGCTTATGCTGTACAAATCTGTCAGCACTTCCACTTCTCTGTTTCTATTATGGCATGATCTCTTTCTGCACTGCTCCCTCAATAATACTAATTTAAAATTAATGTTTATATTAAATTTAAAAGTACACTTTTCACACAGTTCTCTGCTTTATTTGAGCTCACCTACATTATTTCCCAGGCCCTCTTCCTTTTGAGATGTTTCACAATTACCCTCATTTTCTGTGACTTTTCCGTATTTCTAGTTGTATGTTTAGAAGGGAAAAGTTCAGAAATGTTAGTGTTAATATGCTTCTGGTAATGACATGTGCATTCCTCATTCCTGTTTGTCCCATTACAAATGCTTTAGTGAAATATATGAAAAAAACATTTTGTTATGGGAACTAAGTTGCAAAGAGGCTCTGGTTTGATTTTGAAGGAAGGAAAAAAAAATAGACAAAAAACTACTTTCCACTGGTTGAAATTATTGGTTCTGGAACTCTATGGGACACCTGCCAGGCTTGAGTTTGGTGCTGCTTCAAATGGCAACTGGTTGACTATTTCTTTAATGTTATATTTCCCAGAGTACCCCTGCTCTTTGAACTGCCCTAGTGGGAAGGTTGAATGGTACCAAGCACAGGCAGGCTCAAACTCTTGGACCTGGTCACATTGTGTGCTGGGGTCAAGGTTGGAAGTGGTTTAAATCATTATTGGCAACATGTTGGAAAGCTATGTGAGAACTCAGCCTTGCTTTCTAACTTCAGGGTATTGTTCTGTAATTTTAAAAGACTTGCCAGATGTTCCTGGAAGTTGCTTGTTAAAGCAACTTCCCAAGCTTCAGAATCTGTTACAACAGTTTAATGTGAAAAATAGGCAGTGTTCACCAATACATGAAGACTTCTTTATGCATATTGTTCTTATTTATATGAACTCTATAACTGTGCCACGCAAGGAGGTGAGAGAACATGGATTTGCACACTGTTGTTGGAGAGAGTTTCAAGTTGTAGGTAAAAGAACCCACATTCATTTAGCAGAGAAAAATGCTTGATCCTTTTCTGGGGAAAAAAGTGGCTTAGTACAGATTGCCAGCAAGTGGGAGATTAAGTGATTTGAGGAAAGAGATAGGATTGTTTCTTTACATTCTCACAACCAGAGAAGAGTGTAGGATGGAGAGTTTCAGACTTATCATGTACCTTTTAATGAGAGGCTGAAAAGGATTAAATTTACATTCCAAGCTGGTCTGGCTTAGAGGCAGCTCAGTGGTGAAATCCAGTGAACTGTCTCTTCTGGGAAGCTTGGGAGCTGCAGCATTTTGTCCTCTGCAGTTCAGTTTTATTTCTCGACACTGAGACCTCAGCTACTGACTGAGGGTATTTTCTTTCAAGTGCCAATGCAGAGCAAGAGAGGCAGGCAGAGCGATTAAAGAGAAGGGAGAACAACAGCAGAAAAAAAAGAAGTGCAAAGGTAAAACATGATCTGGGAAAAAGAAAGAATGGGATAAAAGAGTGAATATCATTCCATTCATTCATTCATTCATCGAAGAATACAGAAAAAGTGAGGTAAAAAGAGAAGAAGGAAATAATGGTAATATTAGTCAGAATACTGTGGGAAATAGTGTGAAAAGCTTTTCCTAAGTCCAGGTAGGAGCATTCTCAGCCTTTCCCTCACCCACCAAACAGGTCATCTTGTCACAGGAGATCAGGTCAGTCAAGCAGGACCTGCCTTTCACAAACCTGTGCTGGCTGGGCCTGATCCTCTGGCTGTCCTGCACATGTGATGGCTCTCAAGAGGGTCTGCTCCATGACCTTCCTGGCACAGAGGTCAGACTGACAAGGCCTGATGCTGAGATCCTCCTTCCAGACCTTCTTCTAGACAGGCATCACATTTGCTATCTTGTAGTCAGTTGGGATCTCGAGATCCCAGTCAGCCAGGGCTGCTGGACGATGGTTGGAAGTGTGTCTGTGTGCATTTCCATCAGCTCCCTCAGTCGCCTTAGGTGGATTCTATCCAGCCCCGTAAATTTCCATTGACACAGGCTTCCGTTTCCCCATAGGAAATGGTAAGTGCAGCCCACCAGGTGTGTCCTGTAGTTCTGAGACCATGCAACAAAGAACGAGATAAAGTTTATATGTGGCTTGCTCTGTCCCAGTAGGAGAGAGTGGTGATGCTTTGGGTATTTTCATATTGGCTAGTTATCACAAAGTCAAATTACAGCAGTTGGGCTACAGTTTGCTGCCTGATGCAAGATAAATATTATGCCCTGAGGAGCTACATGACTGTAGCCTAATGGTGTGGATTTGTGACTGATTTAAGTGAATAATTCCTTACTACCAATCCCAACAAGCAATCCTGTCATCCTATATACACCTTCTTACTAGAACTTCTGCATCACACAGTGACCTCATCTACATTAATAGACTCTGTCAGTGTGTTTTGTATTGGTTAAAGTTTCAGCTCAGTTCCCACAGGTTGCAGTCCATTGTGCAAGACCAGTATGAGGGGAGGGGACAGAAGTGTACAGCTGAAAGGGAAATACTAAATTTTTCAACAGCAGGATAAACTTATCACAAAACAACACCTTAATATTTTAACGGGTGTTTAAAACTAGTAAAAGCTAACACTGTACTGAAACAGTAAATCCAGCTGTCTTCCTGGTCTTCTATTCCCAACACCCTTGTTCATGCTGTTGGTCTTGCAGTAAACTGGTATAGCTGAAGGAACCCTTTATTTACAGCCTAGTTGTCAGCTGGATCTATGCCCTGCCCAGTTTCCTAAATATTTGCAGACAATTTTATGTAGGCATGAAAATGGAGACTGGGAGTGAAATAGTTGGCAAAAGCAGAGGCAGCTTCATTCAATGGCAGCATCCCTTGGCCCCTTGCAAGGCTGAAGGTGTTTGCTGAATTACAGACGAGGTGTGGGCAATATGAGTGGTTTGAATGACACAAAAGATAGGAATTAGAAGGAAACCAATGTAAAGTAAATGCTTGGTAACTAGATGCTAAAGTTTGGCAAGAGCTGTCTTGTAATATAAGATCTGGCCTTTCTATATAAAGTATTTGAAAAGTACTTTATAATTGGTAATTATCTGAGTTTCAAATAACATGCATGGAGTGGACATGTTACAGGCAAGATGTTGCCATTGCTCAGCATAAATGAGACTTGGAGGTGGTGTCAGAAATTGTAACTGAACAGTCAGACAATATTTGCAGTATGAAATCAAATGCTAAAGAGGGTCTGTCCTTTCATGTACATCTTTTCTTTAATGGAAAGCTGAAGAAAAAAGTTCCCATACTTCCATATAAACCACAGTATTACCCTGTCAAACCCTACAGTGCCTCGGGACTAGGATTGCTTTCTGACCAACAGAGACAACTATTACTCCATCAACAGCACCAGCAATTTCAGCAATTACTAAGTACCCAGCAACTCACATCAGTAAGTTTTTCAGTTAATTATGATTTATTCCTCTGTTGTATTCTAAGGCATGGATAAACTATTCAGCTTAATATAAATAGTAGTAATGCATTTAACTTGATATTAAAGGCTTTAATAGTATTTTAGTCTTTCAGTTGCTTCAACCGTTTTGGATAATAGTCATGGAAAATGTTAGGATATTATTGGGCTGTGTGTATGGCTAGAAGAATCATTCTCTAGTGCCTTCTGTTCCATTTTGTCCTGTGTGGACATGGAGGCTTGTTTCTCTCAGCATCAGCTGTGGGCAGCAGAGCTTGGGAGCACGTGTGGATTCTAACAGTATTGTGACCTGTCTTTGATTCCACTGGAACACTAGCAAATACTTTTGGATATCATCTTGTGAGCTGTCTTTGCTCTGCTTGTAGTACTCATATAGGCCATTAGGTAACTGGTTTACCTATTTGTATCATTAATTGTGTAGTTTTAGTAGACAGTCTTCTCAGGTATGTTTGTTCTGACAGAAGCCTGGTGAAGCCAGCAGGTTTAGCTGAACTTCTGCTGAGCTACTGATTTCAGGAAGTCTGACAGGAACTTTCTTTACCATAGTCTCATGAAATTTCATTAGTTTAACCTAAATTAGCTGGGATTAGTTTAAGGGTTGCATTGACTGAAGATCTGGATAAACAGGAACCCAGGGAGGAGCTATTTTTCAGCAACTAATTATTGATCTTTTCTTTCTTCCTCCTTCCTCTCCCCATATTACTCAAGGAACAACATCAGGCCCTTTTGTATCAATTAGTACAGCAACAACATCACCATCACCAACACCATCAGTCTGAAGTACAGCAATTGCAGATTACTGGAGGAGCACAGATACCCATAAACAACTTACTTTCAGGCACACAGGCCTCACCACTTAATGCAGCTGCTACCAACCCATTCCTTACAATTCATGGAGATAACACAGCTCAGAAGGTGACAGTAAGTATACTTCTCACCTCACTTTCCATGCAGTACCTCCAGGAGGTAACTAAAAGATAAGAAGCAGGTTATGTGCCTGTACTCACAAATCAAAGATGGTGGATTTTTTTTCTTTCTTTATTTTTCTTGAGCCTTGCACTGCACTTAAATGAGGCTCAGAACTCTGTGAACTTGTAGTCACACAGGGCATGTCTGCTGCACACTGTTGCTTCCCTGGATCAGGACACCAATCCAGTGACTCTTGCATTCCTCTTGTAATTACGACTGCAGCCTTAGTCCTCCTCACCCTACTTCTTCCCCAGCATTGTGTCCACTGTTTCGTGGATCATTTCTTCTACCACCTTGCTGGTGAGTTTGCCTTGGCCAGGCCTCAGGCCCTGTGGAGCTGTGGGGATTAGCTGATGGCTTGAGAGGTGAGGAGCCCATTGCTGAGAAGGTAGAATCTGTGTCAGGAGAATGGGCTATGAGCATCTTGGTGCTGCCCTGGGAAAATGAGGCTGTGCATTGGGAGGCTGAGCAGCTCTTCCGCTTCATGGAATAATAAAACCTTTCCTGGACAGATAAAGAAATGAGACACATTTTTCTGGCAAAGATGTTCCATTATCTTTAGTATTTGCCTCTAATCTCCATTCCCAAGACAAGAATTCTTTCTTCAAAAAATCAGAGAACAGGCTTCATTCTTTAAGGGTCGTACAGTTGAGAGGATAAAGGAAGGAGCACATGAGACTTGGTAAAACAAAGGATGAATAGAGCAGGAAGACATAAAGTTTCAGCTTCCTTGGAGAAGACAGCAAGTGGTAGTGGTAGAGAAGAAAGAGAAGCTTGTCTGCAGGAGCAGGTGGAGAGAGTGTGGGCTAAATGTGAGTCCCCTCTCTGCTCCCCACTCCCAAATCCTCCAGCTACTTTAGGAGCACTGTGGTAGAGGACTGGGCTGTGCTTCTGTGGTACTTCAGGCACTACACACTTCCAGACACAAACCACATAAAAGATGAATTTTCAAGATGATTTTTCCTGGAAACAGCTCCCTTCCTTTCAAAATTGTTAGCACTTATTTTGTTCAGCCTTATGCTTTGGGGTTTGGGCAGTTGTGACGTTGCGGCTGCGAACGGTCACTGTGGTCGGGCCCTGCTGTCAGGGTCACTGACTGTCACAACAAACATGCTGGCATTGCCTCCAGGCCTTGCCTTCATTCAGAAATTTTCAGTTTGTTCTCATATGTTTAAAATTGATCTCCCCTCATTTTCCAAAAATTAGTAGTGAATGGAATTATATTTGGTGTACATCCAAGCAAGATATTCTGTGTGATCTTATTTTGATTTTTTCTAAGTGGCCATTACTAGGTCTGTATAGTGCAGTGTATTTTTAAAAATATGCCATCAGTTTTTATGTTAACAGCTGTAAATAATTCCAAGAAATCTCAAAACATCTTTCAAACAAAACCCTTACCAAAAATTTATTTTGAAATTGATTTTATATTTTTTAAGGCTAGAATTGAGACAAGTTGCATAGATTGTTGAATTGTTTTTAACAAATTCTCTATTTGCCAGAGTTCGAGTGTTTTAATCTCGTTTGTAGTTTAAACAGGTTTTCAGGCATTTCTGAATGCTCAGTGAATGAGATGAGGTTTTTGCTCAGTCCTATTCAATACTTGCAGGAAATGTCTTCGTAGCAATATACGAAAGAAAGAATTGTCATGGGCAGATTGGAAGTTGTATTTGTTCTGATGGAGAAGTGTAGATTTCAGCCCTTTCCAGTGGGCAAATGTAGCAGAGGTTACCCGGTGTTTCTCTTGACCATCTTGCAGTTTTAGAGAGACCCATGGCCAGGAACAGCCACTTTTGTTGGAACAAAAGTAGGAGGGGAGTTGGTGTTTTCTAATGCTGCTGTCATGACCTTAGCATTAGTTGCATCAATACAGGACTGCTCCTTTAATTATTCTTTCCTTTCCCACTTCTTATTCTACAGTGCATGGTTATTTTTTACAATGCAGAAGTTACTACTTAGATTGCTCTAGTGAATGTACCTCAGCTGCTTTGTCATCTTTATGAATTGAATTTTACTTGGCTCTGTATGTTATAATCTGATTTTTAGAAGTATTTTCTCTTACACAGAGGCTCAATGATAAAACTGGACCAGTTGCATCAGAGAAGAGTTGACATTTGAATGACACTTGAGCCCTGCACGTCCTGCTGTTATAGCACTTCATGTGACTGCAAACCCCAGGTTCCCTTTCTGCAGATTGAAAAAGAGCAACAAGGAACTCTTACTGCACAGCAAGAGGTTAATAATTTTCATAAGGATATTTTTGGTAGGCTTTCATTTGCTTTCTTGTTGCACTAAAATGGATGTACTTTTTAATGTCTCAGACTGTGAAGTAGATAAAACTCTGCAAATCATAATTATTTTGTCAATATGATGGTACTAAGTACAAATTCAGCCACGGAAGAACATACACTTGACTCTTCAGTCCTAATCTCACAGACTGAAAGGCTGTAAAGCGTCTGCAGTGCTGCATTGCTTTGGTTTCAGAGCAGTAGTTTTAACAGCCCAACCCCAGCCCATCTGATCTTCCTGCTGCAGTTATAATAGATCTTTTTGGACTGAGCTTGTAATGGCAGCTGGGACTTGCTGTTCATTGTTTCTTTTTTTACACACCTGTTTTGGAACCTGATTCATAAGGGAATTGACTTCTGAACTTTTTATTCCTTTAAATTCCTATTGTTGTATAGTTGGAGTTTTTCTTGAATATGAATTATGGTATGGAATCCAAAGTTTATTAATTTTGGTGTAGGTTTTAGAGTTCTGAGATTTTTAAAGGAACCAGTTTGGTTCCAGTGACAAAGTTTTCTTACCAGATGAGAAGGCCACACTGGAAGAAGTTTGTGTAGTGTTTGGCCTAAACCAAGTGCCTGTTGCTACCTCCATTTTGTTGAAATGGCTGCAAACAGCTGATCATGCACTAGACGTGTCCTTGTTAGCAGCGGGAATATTCTGTCTTGCACCAGCAGCCTTGTTCTGCCTTTCCTAGAGGTGTTTATACCACTGTAGAGAGCTCAGGCAGATTGTTACCTGGGTCACTTTTCACTAATAAATTACCAAAAAAGTGAGTTACCATTTCCCACTAAAATTTCCCAGTGGTTGAAACGGATGAACACGGGTGAACTTGTGTTACAACACTTCCGGCAGTTGCTGATCTCGTGGCGAGTCTATGCAGGGTGGTGAAGGACAGTTTAAATGGGGGTAATGACCACTAATCAATAGTGAGGTGGGAATTATTAGCGGAAACGACCCAGCTGTAATTAGACCTCCACTGTGTACTTATTTGGAAGAACATGTTAATTCTGCAATATGTTTCTTAGTTAAACATTGCACAGTTCTTACCTCATTTCTGTAAATAAAGTTTTGTGAATCTGTTTTGTATTGTGAAGAATTCATAAGAAAACATTGATATTTTGATTTGTAATATTTCTAATTAGTAGATTTAATTGAAAAAGTAAAAATAATTTATTTTTATATGTTCTGGGGAATTTTTAAAAAATGTCACAAATCACTTTTGTAGATACTTTACAAAAGTAAACCAGTGGTTTATTTTACTTACTCACCCCACTGGTGGATATTCTGTAACAATTTGTACAAAAGGTAAGATGGAAATGTGCTGTTATTTTGACTAGATGTAAAATTCCAAGTGTATGAAAATATATGTACAAAGCTTTTGTTAATAAACTTTAATAATGTTTATCATTGTATATGATTTGTGTCAATGTGAGTCTTACAGAAGAAAGGAATATTTCTGTTAACATCACATGAGAGGAAGGGTTTGATTTGCATATGGCTACTCAGTTTTATTATGAGAAGTTTCAAAAACTCTTTTTCATGTAAATTTTTGCTTTCACGAGACACTGATGTAGCTGAAAAACCATCCAGGGATATTTCTGCTTACTGGACAGAAATGCCTGTTGCAGCCCTGGGTCTGATGTCAGATTTTGCTTTCACCCTTCAAAAAGGAATGATTGGAATCACAGGAGCAGTGGCTGTTGTCCCACAGCTCCAGTTTGTCTCTCCTCTAGTGGGGACTCTTCCTTATCTGCACCATGCCTGGGTGAGGGGAGCGAGGCTGAGGTTGTTGCTGTAACGTTTGAACTGTACTTTCTGTAAAACCGGCACAGTGCTTGTTTCCATGAATTTTGTTTAGTGTCCATGGGAAGGTTGGTAAATAGCTAAACTCCTGGTTTTTTATTTCCCAGGATGCAAAGAGAACTCGACCCTTCCTGTACAGTCACTTGAAGATAAAATGTAAGGGGTTGTGCTCGTCAGGGGTTGACAGCCAAGAGATGCATTATGGCTTCCTCACAATTTTTAGCCCCTCTGTAGTCAGGGGGCAGCCTGAGGCTCAGAGCAGCTTCTGGGACAAGCAGCAGGAAGATGGTGTTGCTGCAGGCCTGTGCCATTTGAATGTTGTTCATCTGCTCCAAGCTCAAGTATTGAATATTTTTGTTCTATTTTCCAGTGGGGAAAACTGGAATCCTGAAAGAAGACTGGTCAATGAACAAGCTCAGAACTAACAGTAGGGAAATGTGACACATCACTTGGCACAGCAAAGGGGCATCACTTGCTCCCACCCTCCCCAGGACTAGAAAAACCTCCTGACATTTTGGGGGTAGTTGATGAATGTTTTATGCTTTGAGGTGAAGAGGTTCAGGAGACTTCAGCATTTCTACTGATTAAACCTGTACCAGAGTCAGAGCTCGGGTTGAGCACTGGCTCTTGGTCAATGCTGAGAAGGGAGATTACAGAGCACAGAAGGCTGGGCCCCAAAGTGACACTCGGTACTGCCAGACCGAAAGGAGGGGGAAGAAAAGGCCAGTCTGCCCCTGCTCTTGGCACAAAGCCTCTAGGGAATCCTGAGTGCCACTTTTCCTGGAGCCATGGACTGTTGCTTTATTCATGGACTTAAACCAAAGCCAAAAACACTTAGGCAATGCAAGTCACCTTGCTCCAATTGGAGCAATACCATAGGAAACAGTAGAAGTGCTAAGTATTGCCTTTCCTTGTGTATTTCTTCTATTGGAGGGACTGACTGCCTAAACTCCGTACCTGTGTCCTGATAAGAGAAGTGTGAAAGGGGCAAAGTTAGAAAGACTTGTGAAATTGTCAGAAGAGATTGCTGCCAGAAACCCAGGATAGCAATGGGTAGTTTACAATACCACAGTCCTGGTGTGCCAACAGCCACAGCAAGGAAATAATGAAAAGGACAGTTCTGACATCCAAACAAAAATTCAATTCACCAGCCCTTTAAAGAACGAGACCACATCAAAGCCAAGTTTCCATGAGGGCCAGATGCAGTCAAAACCAACTTTGTTTCAATGATTTTTCAGGTCCTGACATGAGAGATGGTCTGTAGCTGATTTGGCACCAGTTCAGTAAAGCCCACAGTGCTGTCCCTGTGGAATGCCTTGGATGCCAAAGCAGCCCAGGCCCTTCTGCAGGTCCCTGGCAGCCAAGCTGCTGAGCTCTCCAAGTGTGTTGGGAACTGCCCTGGGGCTCAGTGTCACAAAAGCACTGCAGACTAAAGCTGCTGCATTCAGATTTTTCACCAAAACCCCACTTCACTGACAACGACAACAAACCTTATGGCTTACAGAAGCCAACTAATTTTGGACAGCCTACAACATCTGAAATCCTGCTTTTATCAACTTTATCCATTCAAGCTGTGTTAGCAGGAGCAGCTCATTCAGCAGTAGCACTGTGTGACATTTAAACTGACCAGTTTTCTGATGCCTGTTTTTCATAAGCTGCACTAAAATCTTATTGTTGGATCTGCTTAAAGGAGAACTCTTCAGTGTTCCTGTTCTCTTCAGGCCCCATCATCTCACAAAGATGTCACATTGCAAAATCTTTCCTTTTTTTTTTTTTTTTTATTTTTTTTTTTTTATATTAGTTCAAACACTGAGAACTATAAAGTTGAGAGTAATATAGTCCAAACAGCTACATTTACCAAAGGACACTGCAGAACAGCATCTGCTGGTCTTTCCTCTAGAACTAAACAGCCTAAATGAGAGCATTTAACAGCATCTCAGCCATATCCTACTCACTTGTGTATGGTTCCTCTAGCTTGGCAGTGGACTTTATCCTCAGCATGGTAAGGGAATATTGCCCTCCCTGTTTCTCATCTGCTCCAAACAAATCCTTTGCATAGTGTTCTGCCTGTGCCAGCAGCAGAGACGAGCAAAGACACTCAAAGCAGGCTCAGATCAGACCCGTTCAGGTGCAAGTCAGAGTGCAGAACCTACAGCATAGACTGCCTCTAGGAATGAACACAAAGTTATGGTGCAAAAGCATTGCTGAGAATACAGCTCAAAACTGTCCAGGAAAGTAAATGAATTTTGCCAGCTGTCAAATATTAATATTACTTCGAGGAAATGTGCTAGATTCTGTGCTAGAACAAAAGTTGGAAGAAGTTGTTTAAATCCAAAGTCTTAAGTGACCTGGGTTTTCATGGAAAGTTTTAGAAAAACAAGCTCTGGTAGTGGGTAACAGACCCATGAGAAAACAGCCTGGCTACAGTCTTCCATTTCTCTGGTGAGCATCATGTCTGACCTCAGTCACCGCAGACTAAAGGCACTGCTAAATGGGCTGTGTCATCATCCACAAAACACCTGGCAACCCAGAGACGACCCTGAAAGATTCTGAAGGCCTTAGACTCGTACCCAGGCCTTCTTCCTCCCCACTGCCAAACACTAAAGTTAAAGCTAAGGGTGGACCAATTCCTCTGGTCCTTAAGAAACTGAACATGAAGTAGAACTGGATGTACCCTGGATGAAGCCTTCACTACCCCCACTCCATGAGGGATGGCTCCCAGATGGGATCTGAGCACAAGGTTGCAGAGCTCAGATCCACTGGTGCAGGGCACTGATGTACATTCCCCCCCACCCAAGACCTTCAGTTCCAAAGGACCCACCAATGCTATGCAAAACCTTCCAAATTCTTGATGTTGAGACAGTTGGGTCTGTCACCAATTCCCAGTGCAGTGCCACTGTGCAAGAGGCCAATGCATTTCTCTTACACAGCCAGCTTGCCTCTACTTTCAGGAAGGTTCAGTCTCCAAGCAGTGGATCCAATCCATTGATTCCCTCCCATCCAGGCATAAGCATCACCTGTGATTAGACAGACATCCAGGACTTCAGGTATTCAACAGGACAAGTGTGGCATGTTCTACCTTTGCTCATCCTTAAACATACTCCTTCTGGTAAAGTGGATTTGTCAGGAGCATTGTTTTAAGTTTCTCAGTGTGAATGGTCTTACAAACAAAATTCTTACTAGTCAGCAGTGTTTGTCCTTCTTCCTTTGACCCCTGTGCAGAAAGGCTGTGGTGGAGGGAAGCAGAAGGTGCTGGGAGGCAGAGTGTGACTATTGCCACACACCCGCTGGGGATGTGAGCAGTCTTGAGCAGGTGCTCACGTTAAGTTTACATCTCCAGCAATAAAGTGTCAAGAGTCCTCCCATTTGCCACTAGATTTTTTTTGCCCTGACACCCAACTAAGCTATTTCTCACTCCAAACTGAGCCCATTGTTATTCTTCACAGCCACAGCAGATTTGTAACAGTTCCATATGGATCACTTCAACTGCAAAGCTCTCTTTTACCTACCTGGAAGATTTTTCTCTCTCTCTAGTCTAGAGCAAATACCAACAATATCTTCCTAGCAAATCAGGCAATGCGAACACTGGATCCTTCTTTCTGCTCTCTTCTGGATGCTCTACATCTCAAAGTGTGATACACTGAACCAGGAACACCATCTCAAGTCAAGTCTTGTAAATCCAGAGTGGAAAATAAAGATGACTCTCTTCCTCACAGGCTAACCTCTCCTATTATTTGCTTTCTCTTTTAGAAACTGCAGAAACATTCCCGTTACCAGTCCATTTTTTTCATGAAGAGTACATCTCCATTTGCTCATGTTCTACTCCAGCTCCACCCATTAATTTTCACCAATTCACTTCACCATTTTAGCAGCTTTTCTTTGCAGCCATTTCAATTATTGTGCTTCACATCTAGTCATCTCTCATTGAGTGTTCTGGATGACTAAAAGCTTTTGAAAGTTAAGTTTTCCTGATATCTCTTGAAAATATCTCACTAAGATTCTTCTTTCAAAGTAGCCCAGAATTCCTGTTCCATTGATTAGCACCCAATTCACAGCTTCTAAATGTGTTTAACTTCCAGTTAACAGTTAAGCTGTGAAGATCTCTGTGAAAAAAAATTGGATACATTATTTTGCACCTATGTTTCCACAATGTCATTATTTCTACCAAGATTTTTTTTTTATATGAGACCAAAAAAAAAAAAAAAAAGCTCCAATTGATGGAGGAACACATATGGAACAGTATTCTATTCCCCAAATACTTAGCCCTTAAAGTTTTATGGGAATGGGATGAAATGTGAAGTGCTGATCTGACAGGAGCACACTTGGCAGTTACTGAGGAGATCAGTATTGGAAACGGCAGGAAGTTAACACAGACTTTCAGCCACCAAGTTTCGATTTTGAGTTCAGATACATGATTTTCTGCGTTTTTCTTCTGATTTTGAATTGAAGCTCAAAAAAATTTTAGAATCCTGGTATTAAATCACAATTTGAATGGTAAAAAATGTTTTAAAAATGCAAGTCCATAATGTTTCTTGCAATAGACTGTGATCATTGCTCTGATTTATTGCTGACATTTACAGCCCATTAAGTACCCTTTGTTCCAGCATTTTA